TTTTATATTAAATAAAAATAAATATGAAAAATGTTCTATTCATATTTTTGTAAAAAATAGAAGTAATTCAAACATTTCAAAAATAGACTTTCTGGTATATGTTTAATTTTAGAAAGAGCAGTTTAAGGTTAATAATATAAATGTTGATCATAATTTTATGTGCAATATGGAGGTTCTTAACACTTTCACAGTTGCTGACATAATAGTACATCTTTCTATAAACTGTAGCTGGTTACTGCTGACGTAGTAATATATCTTTCTAAATTCCATAGATAATTGCCACTGTCATAGTAATATGTTTTTTTAAATGGCCAAACTATGCGTATTAATAAAGTATAATGTTAGAAAAAGGTTTCTTTATTTTTTTATCATGTATAATGGTTACAAAAAATTTTTACAAAATATTGTGTAGTTCATTTTGTATTATATATAATTACAAAACATGTTATGGTGAAAATGAGAAATTACAAGGAATGTAAATCTCGATTTTATTCTAAAATTTTTCATAGAATAAACAAAGTAGAGAGAAGTGAACCTACATTAGAAGTATCAGAATTTCATTTAGTGAAAAGTGGAATATCTAATAAAGATGCAGTTAAAGTACAGGATTTAGCCAAAGCATTAGGAAAAAAGAGTCACTATCTTGATATCACTAGAAGTTTGGACTCTACAAAAAAGAAAATTCATGTCTTACCAAAACCATTAGAAAAACCTGCAGCAGATCAAGTAAGAATTTTTTGTTTGTATCATTGTAGTGTTTATATAGCTTTATGGAAATATTGAATCATTTTACAAGTAATGCTTCAGATATAAAATCTGGAAGAAAAAAAAAAATTAAATAAAAATTACATTTTTTTTCGATGGATGATACATTACCATAGTTTATGATAATCATTTTCCATCTCTTAAGTCATTTTTCAATACAGATGTCAAAAACAACGTTTTTTAAGCTAAATACCTGTCCAATATTGATCTATATTTATGGAATGATCTGATATTATAATACATCAGAATGCAAATTTAAAAAAATAATTATTAATTACATTTTAGATAAAAAGAGTAGTTGGTTTTAAAAATGCAAAAGAGGAATTAAAAAAATGGAATGCTGTAATAACAAAGAACCGAATTGCAGAGTCACTACATTTTCCTTTAAATCAGTCATCAGTACAATTCGAACAATCTACAGAATTTGTTAAAAGATTTAGGCTTCAATCAGATTTAGAGAAAGAACTTGCTGCATTAGAACCACAAAAAGAGAACATTGAACAAAAAAATGATGAGTTCTCTTTGACATTACAAGAAATTGTTATGAAGAGGAAGGAAGCTGCTAAAATTAGAGCACAACAAGTTTGTATTGAAATATTTATGTTAATTCTAATGAAATAAGACATATTAATTTTCTTAATTGGTTTTTTAGTCTTATAAAGAAGCAAAGGCTCGTCGTCAAAACAAAATTAAAAGTAAAAAATTTCACCGTATCCAAAAAAAAGAAAAAATAAAATTGCAATTAAAAGAATTTGAAGAATTACAAAAAACTGATCCACAAGCTGCATTAGAGAAGCTTGAACTGCTGGATAAATCTAGAGCTGAAGAACGAATATCGTTAAGGCATAAAAATACAGGAAAGTGGGCTAAGTCTAAACAAATTAGGGCCAAATATGATAAGGAAGTAAGTACATTATATACGTATTGTGAAAAATTAAGAAAATTACATATACAAATATATTTTTTACTGTATATAACATTACACTATTATATTTTCATTATTAGACTCGACAAGAACTTGCACAACAGTTATCAGTTAGTCGAGAACTAACTCAGAAATTAAAAAAAGTGAGTGATAGTGAAGAAGAAGGTGAAGATGTCAGGTCATCCGTGCAGCTTTTTGTTAATGATAAAGAAAATCCATGGATGGGAAGTGCTAAAACTGCATCAGAAATAAATGATTTTATAAAAAGTTATCGTAAATATTGGGATAATCAAAATAATCTGTTAAAAAATGAACAATTGAATGATAATGCTAACAATAAAATTGAAATCAAACAAAGGAAAACTTTATCAGGGGATACAAATCCTCCTAATGTTTTAAACGGTATGTTTAAAAAAGTTAGTAGAATTTTTAGTAGACATTGTTTTTTGTAATTATATATTATTCTTGACAGACCACAATACTGATACTAATGTAGATTTGTTTGAACTTCAAAATAATGGAAAAATACCAGACATAAAGACAGACTTTAATAAAGAGATAATTTCATCAGCAGATTTAAAATCCGTTTCTGTCTCAAAAGGTATGTTTAAAAAATTATAAATCAATTGTGTAATTGTAAGATTGATTGAATGAATATTTGTTTTCCAGACAAAGAAGATGTAGTAACAGCAAAATCTGTTGTTAAAAATGTAAATAATGTTTTATGCAATAGTATTGCAAAAAAGACAGTTTCAAATAATAATAGAAAATCTAATAAGAATGTTAAATTACAGAAAAAAAATTTAAATAATATTACAGCCACTTCTAGTTGGAATGTTGAATTAGTAGAAAATACTAATGTACAACATGTGATTAATTCTTTGACATTCAATTCTCCAAATAGCGAAAAAATAGATAAGATATTTAACTTCATGGAAGAAAAAATTCAAGATCAAATTAAGTCGAAGCTTGAACATGTTACACAGAATTATGGTAGAATTAAAAAAAAGAGAAAATCCAAATATCTTATATTTAAGGAAGACAATTTTGATGGACTTGAAATTCAAGCTAAGAAACAAAAACCTATCTTAAATTCATCTCTAACTGAAAGCGTTAATGAATATTCCTCGGAGTTAAATAATGAATTGAAAAATACTGAATATGTAAAATATGACAACACTTTGTTTACGCATAAATTAAACTCGTCTAAAATAGAAATAGACCCTAGTAAGTACATAAATGTAAAACCTAAGCAATTAAATACGGACCTTCCAGTTGATATTACTGATGGTGATGAAGTTTTGGACGATAACGAAGATGAGGAAGAAAGACGTAATATAGTAAGCGAAGCGTTCGCTGATGATGATGTCGTAGAAGAGTTTAGAAAAGAAAAAGAAGAGAAGGTAGGTTAAAATATTGATATTACTAAGTCTATGCAAAAGTTCACAGTATTTTTTGTCAAAATACATTATTTATTGAAGAAAAGTAGCTACATTTATTCTTTTTCAAAATGAATTTTCTGTTGCAAATTACCACTTTTTTTCATTTATGTGAAAATTAATGAATATCGTCACGATAAAAGATTACGGCTGGTATGCAGAGAACTTTTTAGTGTATTATCTTATACTTTCGCCTCAGAAATCATGCTCCTGATAGCATGCATTGCATTGACCAAGATAAGTGATAATGCAAAAGGATGAAGCATGGTGATTGCACATGAGAGGGAACTTTTCAGTCCAATTCCAAAATGACGTCTTTAGTATCTAGACACTGATATTTCCCTTTAGTTTCTATATGATATATCTGCTAGGATTGACTTATAATTTTTACCGTTTAGAATTATCATAAGAAACCTATTTATTATCCTTAATATTATTTTCTATTAAACATCTTTTTTTGAGAAAGAAAACATTTTTTTCCAAGATTTAATATGAATAACATTGATAAATTTTATGTTATTGCACTATTATTAATGATGAATCTTATACATAGGTATAATTAAACTTATAGAAACTCATTGCTTTCAAGAAAACACGAATCGATATTAATCAAAATCTATCTAAGGATGACGTATTATGATTAGAATTCAAAACCACAAATAAATTCCATCAATATGATAGTATATAATGTTACGCCATATTGAACATTGAAAACTTTTGCAGAGACTTAATATAAATTAGCTCTTTCGCAAATTTTTTTTCAAATTTATGTATAGGCACAGGAATCTCAGCCTAAGGATATCGATTTAACACTACCAGGATGGGGTGCTTGGGGTGGAAAAAATATTAAAGTACCAAAACATAAAAGAAGACGTTTTATTATGAAGGTACCTAAACATTTACCCTGCAAGGATGAAAATAAGAGTAATGTGATAATATTTGAAGATGACAATGCTAAAATAAAGGAACATCAGGTTAATGAGTTGCCACATCCCTTTAAAAGTGTTAAAGATTATGAAGCTAGCATTAGAATGCCAATTGGTAGAAACTTTATACCTGAAAATTCTCACAGAAAATTAATTGAACCTACTGTTAAAACACGTATGGGAAAAATTATTGAACCAATGAATGACGATGTTTTGATTAATAAAAAAGAAAAAAGGCGTCCAAAATGTATTTTTAAGAAAAATAAAATAATTAAAGAGAAGAAAGTAAAATAAAATATAAAAGATCAAATAATCGTGTAAATGTTCCTTTTAACTAAGAGATATTCCAATTCGTTTTTGCAATGTATATTTTATGAGCAACGTGTATATTAAGTTTGTTGGTTAACTATTTACTAATCACTCGTATTTTATATATCATTCATAGTAATATATCAAATTTAAAAATAAGCATTGATAGAAAAATACAGTAAAAGATAATATTCTATGGTTAATTATAACCATTTATTATATAATTTATCAATATTTAACTTGTAAAAAGAATATTCTCAACATTCCACAATTATTTATAATCTATACTAAAAATATGAAACAATTCTAAGAATATAATTGTTAAAGTTAATAAAATTAGAAAGTATTAATATACAATGTAATTAAAATACCACCTAATTTAGAATACAAAAGGATGCGTATAATTATTATTTTTTAAATAATATTTGCACTAACGTATGTTTTATGTATATTTTAAATACAATCGGTTAATTTGCGCATGCGTGAAAAGTAGTTTGCGATTGGCGGAACGGTGGATACACGGATCCAAGATAGAGATAGTAGTTAAAAAGGGACGTAATACGAAGGAGTAGGAAAAAGATAGAACCACTATACTGCGTACGTGAAGGAGAGGGAGCAAGATAGAAACCACCGCCAATATGATTGCTCGATCACTTGTTCTCAGTAGTAAAGCAAAGTTCGTGAGAGGAACGGTTTATCGTACATTTGGAGTGAAACACAAACGCAAGAAATTTTTGTTTGTTTTCACATATATCGTACTTGTGAATAAAATTTTGTGCCTCCAAAGAATGGCAAATTCCAAAGACGACAGCACCGATAGTGTGCAATTTTTTGAAGGCGTGGAGAAACTTCTTGAGATTTGGTTCACAAGCAACAGTAGCATAAACAGAAAGCAGGGCGATCTCAGGCAAATTCCTCAGTAAGTTAAAATATACTATCTCTCTCAAACCTAATCAGCTACTTTTTCTATTCATATCTCAATTTAAAGTCTTTTATCAAAACTTATCATATAATTCATGTAAGATTTCATTGTTATTTATAATGTTTTACATAGCATCAACCTTTGTGGGAAATTAATAAAAATGTGACGATTTTCAATTGTAGTTAAACGTAAGTTCGTTTATTAAAACATAATGCAATTTAAAGTATCATAAATATTAAGAATTGATCAATGACATAGTTTAATTTCAATAAATAATTTAACAAAATAACACCGGCCTGATAACCATGATCGTATCGCCGGTACCTCACGATGTAGTGTTCTGATAATAATCGTTAGTACGTTTAACCTAACTCTCGCTTTGAACTTAGTTGCTCTCACTTGTGTCAGTTTTTGTAACAAAAAATATTACTAATTTCCAATATTTAATAAGAATTATTATGATTATATGGAGACTAATATATTAAACATTGCATCGAATGTTCAGTTAGAAAAATTATTTTGCTGGAAAAATGTTCTGGTAATTCACTAACATTGGATACATTGAATTGTACAGTACCGTATATGTCGTATTTTTTGGTGGAGATCGATGCGCCCACCTTCTTCTTCCAGTAATACGGACCGCTTAAAGTGAGGCTACGTGACTCTGACATGTATATACATCGTTTTATCTCTTTATTTTAAATTGAATATAAATAGAATATAGACATAAGCACCGATGCGATCTTCCTTTTTTCTAGGATTTTAGTAGCATTCGGAATAAATCGTTGTCTGATAAAAACTAATTTGTAAATATTAATTGTCAGGACCATAAACGTTTTTTTGATTTTTTCAAATTGAGTATAAATCATTGTTACACTTTTTAACATATGTGTTCTTTATTGAATTTCATTGTGAAGTTAGCGAATAATTCATGACGATCATTTTTGGTGAAAATAACATTTATAAAGCATTCATAATTACACTGTTACACGAGGTTCCATGGTCATAATAAACTATACCCGAAATATGATATACAAAAGTTGGTAATAAAATTACAGAGTTAAAGAATGCTCTTGTATAATATTTATATCATTATGTAGTTTGTACTATTTTATTAGAATATCTTATATGTTAGATATAATGCCTAATTGAATGACATAATTAATGCGTTAATTTGAAATCGTTATAGCATTATTGACATTGTAAAGTTAACGGCGGTTTGTACAACGATGACCAATTTTTAACAGAAAAATAAATTAAATTTACATTGAGGAACATAGCTGACATTTAAAATATTGTCTTTTTTACTTTAATTTTATTGTATTTTATTGCAATTATATACAATTGTTATTAATGAAATTTTATATATTATCGATTTACATAGTACATTTGAGAGACGCACAAAATTGATTATTTAAAATACATTATGCATATTTATATAATAATTTAAATACAGATATTTCTATAGCAATTGATGTTCGAAAATATTTCAAATTGACAGTTTTATATTAATGAATTATATTTGGAAAAAATTTACATGCAAATTACACGAATTTAAAAGTTTACAGTTACTTCGAATTTTACACCATAATTGGAAGTTTAGATTATTTAACGTACAAATTGCATAACATATTTTTTAAACATTTAATTCTGTGCGTTTGCTTTTGTATTGTACAAGTATATACCAATGCACTACTAAGGAGTATCTTATACTAGAATTAGTAATAATCTATTTAGTAAGTCATGATTAAAAATTTTTCAACAAAGTAATACCATTCATCTCGTTTTATAAATAGCTGTTTTTTTTCGACCAAGAAGAATATAAAAAAATATTCAGTAAAAAACTTTCTGAAGGAACTGCTAAAATTTATCAATTTAATGTATGATTATTGTTTTTGCAACAAACATCATTATACGTGTTTATCATATGCAATAACTATCATTTTTTATTTGTGTAACTTAATTTGAAGAAATGCAGTTAAAAGTTATGCGAAAGTATTTTTTTATGTATAAAAGAAAAGTGAAGTACCTTAATTAATCATTTCGATTTATATAATCGTGAAAAACATGCTTGGGAAAAGAAAAAGTGAGTAACTGAAAGCATTATAATTTTGATTCACAAAGAAAATATTAAAGTATGTACATATATACGTATTTATGTATATGTTTTATCAAGTTTGACCAACGGCCAAGAACTAAAAGTTAGTTTACAAATTATGAGTGCTCAACTCATATTTGATATATTTCTTTCTCAAGTAAAACTTTCTGGTTATAATAAATCGAAATCATGTAAAGAATATGTACACTGTTGTATTTGATGGATAGGTGCTTTCCTTACTTTTAAATTAAAAATATATTTGTTTGTTGTACTTTAATATATTCAGGAAATATGTTAAAAATATG